TATATTAACAGTCAGAATTTGTTACAATAACGACAGTTACGTGTTGTACTATATGTGTGAACAAATTAATTTAAAAACACAAGGCACGACATTTTAAACTGCATGACGTCATGATATAATGAGAATGCGCCCTTACAAATACAAAATTGCCTATAAACAAATGTTGCAGGCCTATTTCACATCACATTTCCTTCATATTCACTCACTGGCTTTTACCTATTCTTAAAGTAATGCATCCATATTAACACTCTTGGTAAAAAATTTAATATAAATAGAAACGTTTGCCATCTCCTGAATAACCACTCTTTATAACAGACGAGTTTGAGAAAGTAAGGCATCGAAATGTCTCTTAAGCATTATGGCGAAAAAATTATCTACTCTATTCACGACAAACATGCCTTACGGAAAACATAATAGAAAATGGATATTTGTTTTCTTTTTCAAACTACGTTTCGGGCCCTTTACAGATCCCATGGTCACGACTGACTGACTGATGGTGTCATCATCACCTTGTGACTTCTTAAGTGTTGTTAGAGATTACTGACCTGATGTCGATCATGTATGATATGCTTGAAGCAATGCTTGGCAGCTGGTAGGACATGATTGCCGCAGCGCACGCCGCCTTCGGCAAACGTGCAGCGGCCTTGAGATGGAACTGGTCTGTTCAAGATTGGTTCGTTGACCTGTGTGACCAAACTTTAAATATACCATAAGCTCCCACCTGTGGTACCATAAGTATAAATTTATCCTCGTGTTCCTGCTAACGTACTATTAGTTATATTTGAGGCCATCAGTGTAAAAACAGTGTAACCCACGGATGACTAAAAAAAAACAACGGAACTCGGCTATTGCGATGACAGTCACATTTACGCGTTGTGAATTTTATTAGTTTTAATTTTGGTTTTTGTTTTCCAAGCATTGACAATGCTTTCGAACGTATTTTATGCAGTGTGATTTTTTTAACTGGGACAATATAGGAAAATCCAAAACCATGGGAGATACAGGGACACTGTCTTAGGAACCATTACGCCTTTTTTGTGGAAATTTTGACAATGTAAATTTTTTGGTCACGCGTGAGTTGACCATAAAAATGAATAAAATTGATCAACATTTTTTCAGTGAATTTTGACTCAATTTCATGAAGGGATCATTTCATTGTATGGGAAGAAAAAATCGGGACAGCATGGTCAAATATCATAAAACATTTTTTCACACAAAATGAATAAAATTGACTAATTATCTTTAATGCTAATAGACTCAGTTTCTTAAAATAACGACTTCATTGTATCAGAAGAAAAAAACTGGGATAGCAGAAGTTGGTGAAATTTAATAAAAACAAACATTATAATACCATAGATGGTGACACTTAGATAAAATAAAAAACCAAATAAGAAGTATAAAACATAAAAAAGAAATGCAAAACTATTTAAACAAAATTTTAGCAACGTTTAATTAAATTTGGTGAGTTTTGACCATGATATTCTATGAAAAACGAATGAATCAAAGTTTTCTCAATAGTATACTTGTTTATAATAATAATAATAATAATATCTTTATTAACTTTTTATCCTTATCACTAATATACATAAAAAGTTGTTACTAAATATACAATGAAAAATGCATTCGCTAAGGTTTGAGAATACACTGGCTCCTAAACTAGACTAGAGTCTGTGTCTTAGGAGTCAGGTTGAGTTAGATGTATCGTAAATGGTTTGCGCCTTATAAAATATTATCCAGGTTAAAATTTGTTGAAAACTAATTTAAAAAAGAAACTATATAATTAAAAATTAAAAAAGGCAGAAAAAGGGTGTATGTTTGCGTGTGTGTGTGTGTGTGTGTGTGTGTGTGTGTGTGTGTGTGTGTGTGTGTGTGTGTGTGTGTGTGTGTGTGTGTGTGTTAGTGGGCGTGTGTGTTTTTGTGCGTGTTGATATCTGTATGAATCTGTAAGTGCATGAGATGTGTGCGTGGGTGAATCTGCGTGGGTGTATGGAATAAAAATAACAATAATAATGCAATAATGCGAGTGCGTGCGTATGTGAGATTGTTGATTTGGGAGTTTGCAATAAATTGTATAGATGACATTTATTTCAATTTGAGAACAAACTAAGGGTCGTATTCCAGAACTGTACTCAATGCTCAAGTCAGGATTTGAGCAGACTTGAGTATGATTTCAAGCACTGGAAATACGACCCTAATGGCAAGGGACTTGAGTATGATTTTCAGTGCTCACTGCAATACTCAAGTCCTGACTTGAGCATTGAGTAGAGTTCTGGAATACGACCCTAAGTGACGTTTTAGCACTGACTTTTACTTAAAAAAAAATAAAATTGCAGTCTCGGCTTTTTTCCGAATTTATTATAATGTTATCGTAATAATCAAGGCCTGAACAAAAATATTATAGCTGCCATCTGTTGGCCTTTTCGAATATTATTACAATCGCATCGCGGTTTACTTGGAGGCATCTATTGATCAGCGTTAAGAATCATAATAAACGTCCGAACAAGCGGAGCTACGAATGCGACATTTCTTTGTATAAGATTGGGTATCTGTACTATAGTCTGTTTCAATCCATTATTTGTAGGCGAAAAATAAACAAAAAGGTTTGGTTAAAATTCTAAGGCAATCACTCAATAAGTCGAATAAGTAACACTTTTACGTATATTTCGAAGACTTGATATCCATCGGTTTCTCCTGCAATATTCATTTGTATAACACCGTAAAATCGTATTTGAAAAATAGTAGTCAAAAAGTGAGGTTATGTTTTAATTATAGATGTATTAATAGTCTATGGTTGCATAGTGCTGTATGGAAAAAAACATTCGGCTTATAAAGTTTTTGTAATCGATTAGTAAATCGAAAATTTCAATCGTAATTGAACGAGTATCTAAGTGCAAGGATTTGAAGGAGGATTTAAGATTAAGATTGCCGAAAAATTAAATATGCTTTTATAGGTTTTATAAGGAAAACCGCTAGTATGACTTAATTCAACAAATCGATTCCTTCAATTGATTTATCGATTTGTACTTGGCAGTAAAATTGGCCATTACTAAATTGTGTATGGTCGGGTCAGCGACTTGTTTGTTTACTTTTAGTTTCAAATGGATTGAAACGTACTATAGTATTATTATTATCTGTGATACTAACCTTGGCTCTCTTGTGATGCAGCTTCCTCGCCAACACGGCATCAACGCCGTGCTTACGTTTATAGCCCGCAAAAGCCTTTAGTTTACGCAGTTGTCTTCTTTCTCGCACTGTAAGGGGTCCGCTTTGCGATTGGGAGTATATGCTGCCTGTAAAAGAAAAGCGTAACAATGTAGTAATAATAATTATAATGATAGTACCAGAGAACCACACAAATTGCCTGGTCTCAAACTGTAGTTCATTTCACATAGCATGAGTGAGAGCCTGTGACATTTCCAATTTTTACGTTTGCATGCTTACAATTTATAACTAATCTCAAAACCAGGTTACGAAAAGAAATAGTAAATTTGTCATAATATACCAAAAACAAGCAATGTATGTGGCAGTTTCAATTTTAAATAAAAATTAGAATACATTAAGTAGAAAGAAAGTGAAATGATAAAGATAAAAATAAATTACCCCAATAAAACGGAATATTTTATCCATAGAGATTTACACCATAAAATCGATAAACCAAATCGACTATTTTGTAGCTCGCGTCAGTACGAGTGCATACGCCTTGTAGGCGGGTCGTTTTTTTTTGTTTTACGCTTTGTTGTTGACTTTTTATTCGGTTGTTGTTGATTTTTAATTTGTTGTGTCGTTTTCTTGGTAAGTTATTAACATAACAATGGAATCCTTCCTATTCTGTTTATTATTTGTTCTTAAATTATTTCCTGAATATTTCCTTAAGTTATTATAATTAAAATCCTAGAAAAATATCTTATTATGCTTTTGGAGTGTAAAAATGATAGGTGCACCAAGAATACTATCCGTACTACTATTTCATATCATCGGTAAGTTTTATTTTAATAAATTTTCAAGTTTCTGTTTATCAAATTGATTTTTTGTACTGTAACAAACAAAAGAAAACATTATCCCAATGCAATATGGTAGAGTTTTATCCTTTGTAGAACTAGGTAACTTTTGGAGAACTAGGTAAAGGTCTCGAATTTTCTCCGCTAATAGTTTAGCGAAAAAAATGCTTAATTAGTGTTTCGTTAATTTTAAACTTAATTAATCGAAATAAAATTCATTATGCAACGTGTGCGTTATAGAAGACATCTGTTGTCGAAAAGATACTACTTACTAGATGTTAGTCGTAAATCGTAGTCCAGCTACTGGCAGCAAGATGGCAGCACGTTAGCAAAGGTATTGTACTTTCAACAATATATTGACTGGATAAAGTTTAAATTATGTTAACAAACTACGACCAATCAGCAATCATAGTGTTTATCATTTGTATCGACGGCGTTTCTGTTAGTAATCGAGGCTTATGGCACTTTTATTGTTTTTTTCTTACGTGGGCTATAGTATACTATTATTTTATCTGTGACACTACAATCTGCGACAAACAAATAATCAAATTGTACTTACAATACTGTTCTTTTTCGGTCTTCAACGCTCTTAAGTACTGCAACCGGGCAGTCTGCAGTAGCTGCTTCAGCCGGCCCATTTGCCTGATGTAAGCCGTCTGGAGCGATCGCATCGCATTTCTCGCTTCGCATACTGCTTCTTCAGCTGTATAGACGCCAGCTCGCCTGAAAGTATATGATTAAAATTAAACATTAGATACTGTCTGTCCAGTATTGGACATCTCCATCACTAGCCCGGAGAGCTAGTAGAGGATTAGCTAGATATCCTCTGGTCCCTCCAGTCGCGTAGGCCTCTGGGAACTCGAAGAGACGCTTCGGCTACCAAAGTGGAGATTTGGTAGTTTAGTAGGAAGAGAGCGTGCCAACATCTCCGGTATCTATATGGAAAATAGGGAGGGTGCAGTACCAGATAATGGGCTGGCCTGGACTCAAGACCTGGACTACATACTTACAGATATTTACCTATTTTCGTAAATATTTAAATAGTCATGTAGTCGTTGTCGATAACTTTATCGATAGATTGTGAAAGCAAGTCAAAAATTAATTTGACAGTTGGTCTATTAGTATCGAAATCAATTTTTAGTAATACACATTTTAATAAAGACAGGTGGATTTAATTAACTACATTAAATTTATTAACTACATAAAAAATACTTTAAAATATATATCATAAATATTTATAACTGCTAAACTTAGTGTATTCAAATGAATCTGTGCCCGGTAGTTGGATGAATAATTGGCCGATGATGTTTCAAATGAAACGAGTTCGGCTATTTATTTCATAAACGTAACCAACACTTAGTCGATAGTCGATAGAATATTTATCGACTGCAATCACTAGCCGCTTGTAAGCAGGCAACAGGCATTCGTATGATCTTTTTGGCAGCAGTAGAGCTCTTTGTGAAAGAGTTCGTGAAGGGAAGTACTGCCACCTTACCTAGAACTCCTCACCTCACCTGAACTTTCATGTTCCTCCATCTTGAAAAAAGACTATGGGTCTATCGTATATTTTTTGTAAGATCGTTATAGCAAATACGTAAACCGTTTGATCTACTAAAAAAGTTTTTCCTGATTCTCCGGAGACTCGCTTTAAGCTCCATACAAAAGTCTTCTGGGTCGAGTCGTAGTTTTTTTTTTGGTAGTGCGATAGCCACGTTGAGGCAACAGTCGGTGGTTTAATTCAAAATAGCGCTTACCACAAAGGCTGATCCTCACAAGGTGCCTCCTCAGGATCAGACAGGTCCTCTCCCCAACCTCCATCAGGGTCCAAGATCACGCTGTCCCCGTCGCTGTCACTTGCGCTAGCGCATTCCATTATAGAAGTGGAGTATGTGCTGTTTACTACTGTTGCGTCTATTTGCTCTGAAATTAATAATATTTACACAGGGTTATTTTTAAAACAACTTTTTTTCAACGATTTATTAATTAATCAGTTTTAATTACGTACACAAATTAAACTATATAAATAGGTTGCTCTAAAAAGTTATAAGTCTGTGAGGTAACAAAAGAAAGTGGGAGTCGTCGGGAGGACGCTTGCACGTTTGAATTTACTACTAAATGCAGACTAAAAAGTGTCAGATAATACAAAAATGAATGATGAAGAATGGCATAAGTGGAGTTACGTCAAAAATGTTTATTGCTCCATTAGACACAAAAAATATAATCTACATCCTCTCCAATTGTTGTAATTCTATCTGCAATATTAGTCGATAGAGTTACAAGAATTGGAGAGGATGTGGGTTATATTTTTCTGTATCTAATGGAGCAATAAACGTTTTTGACATTACTCCACGTGTGCCATTCTTCAATGAGGGGTGCGTGTGGTCCTGCGAGGTTGTTTTAGTATTTTACAAATAACCCTGTATAGATCTTTATCAGACGAGAAAGTCTTTTGAGTATTAACAGTTACAAGTTTTTATCAGTATTATTTTTAATACTCCTGCATCTCTTCTGTTTCTTTATGATACCAAGTGAAGGGACGAACATGTTAGTCTGCTGGTAAGCGACACGTCTGTCCATGACAGTGACAGCAATGCCGCTCAGAGCTTTAAATCGCAAAGATCTGATAGCCCGAACTAAAAATCACACTGAAACATAAGTTGACAAGTCCCTTGCGCCTGTAATTTCACCCTTCAAAATCATCATGTTGTTGCTCCATTAGTTAGTATTTTTAAGATTACCCTGTAACCTGTAGGATGAGAGGAGAATGAACTCACTGAAGGGATCCACTGCGTGTGGCGTGATCTCCTGATCGGCTGGGTCGCTAACTACCGACACTGACGATGCACAAGACGTTGTCCGAGTTCTTTCCGGGCTAGAAATTAATATTTACCACATTATAAATTAACATGAAGACTATACGGGACGTAACACTGCACAATTGAAAATATTTTATGACAAAATATTTAAGTTGTTTAAGCCAAAAGGGTATAGTTTCCATTATAATTGTTACTCAAAATATGAAGAATACAACCTGTTAATAAACGAAAAAAAAAAGGTTCATGATTATGAGATGTCACTTTAACAGTGACAGTTGTTTGTTTACATTTTTGGACTTCAATTTCACCTTAAACTATAGTTCAGCAAAGTCGAAGTCATATGTAATAATCTTTATGAAATAAATAAGGTAAGCAATTTACCTAATTTAGGACATAATAGTGCGTAAGACCGCGCAAATTATGCGTCTAATGTGACACAAGTTGTGATATTAATGAGAATAATATATCAACTCACCGTACATAGTGTTGCAATTGGTTGAGCAACGTTTCAGTGGTGGTGACTGGCGGAGCGGGGGCAGCGCTGCGTTGCCTCGCGTGTAAAGCAGCGCGGGCGTGCTCAAAGCACAGGCTACGGACAATCAGTAACAAATTTACTTATGTATTAGATGCACGAAACAGTTTACATTCAATGGTACTCCAATCAATATTCCAATTTACGGTTTTAATCTACTGTCTGTCTTTATTGAAGATGGAGTAAAATGACGGTTTATTAGCCAAAAGTGTTGCCTGCTTACAAGCAGCTAGTGGTTGCATGATATAGTATATTTTTCTTCTTTTGAGTACCATTTGTTTATTGATTGGCAATTTATTGTTTAATTGTTTAATTTTATTTCATAAGATTCTCCTAAAAAGTATTTACAATATTAATAGTATGGATACTATTATATACGTTTATATATACGTTTATAATTAGTAGTACTTTTTACCTGAAATACAGGAATTTCCTAGTTCAGGTACATGTGTTATTTTTACATTAAATCGCATTTGTGGTAGATAAAAATCGTCACTCCTCTGTATGATATCCTCCCCACTAAAATCCTCCATCCCATTAATATCAACTTTCTCCCAACGCTAGTCCACTCTCCTTTTGTGTATGTCCCGTGTAAATTTATTAAAAATAACAATTTGTTTCTGTAATAGTACAGACACAAATTGAACCAGTTCTGCTGTTGCAGATTCTTCTCTCAGTGATTTCTGTCTTAATTGCCTTTACCTGCCTCCAAGGCCGAACTGTTAACACGACTGCCACGCCGAGGTCCCAGGTTCGATTCCCGGGCCGGGAGAAATATTTGTATGGCCTACATTTATTTCACTCGTGAGTTTGGGTGTAATTTGTGGTTGTCTATGTGTGTGTCCATGGCACCAGCAACACATGGTTTCCCTAGTGCGGGGCTATGTTGAGTGTGTGCGTTATTATTATTATTTATAATTTCCCGGTCAAATTTCGAGTTAAAAACGCTCGTTTTTTAACTCGACATTGGGGGAATCATCGATGGTATCAAAGGAGCTATGACATTATAAAGAAGAAGAAGAAATGTAATTTCTTCCTTTCTTTCAAATTGGTCCAAATATGACACATCAAATAAGAAGAAAATAGTCTACTCACTGATGGTCAGCATCCTCAGTCCGTACAGGCATAGAACACCTCTCATGTGCACATCGTGTATAAGGTGCTGTAGGGTCGTGCAGTATGTGCCGTACGCAGTACTGTCGACCGTTTAACACTGGCATTGTACAGGTGTAGCCTTTGTATGCACAGGATCGTGAACGGGATACAATTTCCTTTTGAAGCTGGAATTAAAACAGGGGGCAATTGAGACTAACACCAAACATAAACCTCTGCCTTTTTAGCTGAGTTACACTTTTACTTCTCTATCTAAATGTCTATCATCTATATATTGTATATCTCTTTACTCTGCGTGCTTTTTGGCAATTTTTTATTTCTTTGTTATTTGTTATAAAGCAAAATAAAACCTTATAACTAATTACAACTTAGGCATTCGAGATTTCAAACTTAGGTACTTATTATAAATGTAGATAAGCTCTGTCATTGGACAGGAATGGCATCAGAATGCTCACTAGGGACTTAACAGGACATTGTAGCTTGAACAAGCACACATCAAATATTGGACAGAGAGAGAATAGAGAGTGTAGAGTCTGCCACAAAGCGGATAAAACCCCTGTTCATTTTCTCATCCAATGCTACCCCCTGATGGGCGTACGAAGCTGCATACTGAGGAGCCACATGCGTCAACCAGAGGACATAAAATCTGTAAGAGCCAGGAAAGTTCGTCAGTTGCCTTGGCTCTGAACAATAATTCGTGGTAATCACAAAAGGTCAGTTGATGCTCGCAGCGATGAGAGGCTGCATGTGCCCCGAATAAAGTCACACCTAATAATAATTATTGTGTATACATACGGCAGTGACATTAGCTGATTGGATCCTTTTACATACACCACAGTTGCACACATGACATTTATTGTAATTGTGTTGACTATTTAATGTTTTTGCTTTCATTACCTATTATTAAGAATTTGTTATTTTACTTATTTTTATTCTATTTTATTTATGTTTTAATTTAGCTTAATCTTTTTTTTATGTTTGTTATTGTGTATTTTTGTGTTGTGGCGTTATGATAAATGGTTTCTATTCTATTCTATATATGTCATCATGCCTGTCTCCCACCAGTATAGGCAGGACTATGGACCTGCTACACTCCTAACAAACCTGATCCATTCTCCACTCTCACCAGTCTCTTCATACATGCCCATTTATTCTTTTAACCTGGCCTTTTTTAAGGATATCCCAAATCTAATTGAGGTATGTATACTATTCACTTGTTAACCGACTTCGAAAAAAGGAGAAGGTTCTCAATTCCTCTGTTTTTTTGTTGTATGTATGTTACGTGATACTGATAACTTGTGAACTGATTTTGATGATTCTTTTTTCTTAGAAAGAGGGTACCTCAGATGTGGTCCCATTTAAATTTGAAAAAATATTCCACCTCTAAGGGTGGCAAACTAGGGGTTGAATGAATTTTGAGGTCAGTTTTTTTACTATATATTTACTGTACTGAGATCATTAAATTTGTGCTGTCAATCTACCAATATTCATTCTTTCTCCATGACCAAACCATTGAAGCATCCCCCCTTTCTAATCTGGTCACTATATCATCTTTCATATCACAACGCTCCCTTACTACACTATTCGGCATTCTGTTTTGAAGACTAATACTGTATGTATTAAAGTATTTGCAATATGACATGCAATAATCATACAAAACTGACATATACCTGCGCCCTGAGCCGCTCCTCTTCCTGTTTCTTAACAGTTTCCGGATCTGGAGGCTTGACACTGTATGGGGACAGTCGGAGTGAAATCCGGCCACCACGGAGCATCCGGACTTTGGGTAGATGGATCACTTTGCGAGGTGGATTGGACATTATGGACGACGTAGGATTAACTGAAAGGATCACAAACAATTTTATTGTATTATTGAGAAGTTTAGGCCTTTGTAATGTTGCTGACATTTAAATTTATTCTATTGATATGGCCAACTTTTCTCTAAAATCAATACTAGCGCCACTGCTCCAGGCTCAAAAGATGTTTGTCAGTTTTTGGTGTAGTTTGTGTGATATATTGATTTAGTAATAAGAGGTAAAAATATGTTATATAAATATTTAAGAATAATATGAGTTGCGATTCACTAGATGTCGCTGTTTGACCGCGAGTTGAAGCAATTATTAGAAAGGCATTTTTCTAATACAAAGCTAATTACAAGGATTAGTGATAAATACAAGAATTACATACAATAACAAGTGTGAAAAATTTCCTTGTTCAAGTGTGAAGGTTATTATTGAGATTATTGTAACAACTTACGTTCAGAAATTCTTATATTATGCATTCGCAATCGGTCAAGAACATCACTTTTCAGCCTATACATGACTGATAGATATAATTTAGGATAAAATATATCTCTAAAATTATGAAATGATAAAAATTACGTGGCTCATTCGTCACTTTTCTTCTATATTGTGGAAAATCACGTAGGAGGCCGCGAAAATTCATCAACCGGTAGTCAATAGTTTTCTGTTTAACTTTCAATTCATTTTAACTAATGTAATAAATATGTGCATTGAAACACTGAAATTAAAAAAATCATTAACTAATTATCATGTAATCAGTGTCCAGTTAAGTCAATAATTAAGTCTATTACACGAAATAAATTAACAAGTCAATTGTAAACAGTGGTGGTCGGCCATTTGCACGGTGTGACAGAGTACTTTAGGTCCGTAATTTCAAACGTTATTTTAAGAGATTTGAAGTTATTTAATCATTACAAAAATATGTACAAAACAAACAGCACCGGCTAAAGTACAAAAGTAAACAAAGTGATAAAGTGAAACATACCTGTGCTTGTTGCAGATCATCATTCTGTCCACGGAGACCTCACTACGTTAACCACCAAGTTTTGCAATGGCGTCTGCTTGAAAATACATAGCAGCATTTCAACTTGTGACGCAATTTTTCGGTTACTTCTCCTCATTGTTATAGTGTAAACAAACGTTGTTAATTTTTAATTTCATTAATTCAACCGAATTTGAGTGTTATTAGCTTCGCAATGATAAACTATTAGTTTATAAATCAGTCAAATGTTAACGTGGTCTACATCCGGTCGCCGCTGTCATAGCGCTGTCCCTTTCCCACTCACGCACGTAGACGGAGCGCAGCTCTCCGTCGTGCTTCTTCAGTCATTGGAACATCCGTTCAATGGCTGGCAGTCAAGAAAAATGGTATTTTACAAAAGATCAACTCCAGAATTCACCAAGCAGAAAATGCGGTTTAGACGCAGATAAGGAGCTGGCTTACCGGCAGCAGGCTGCAAATCTTATCCAAGATATGGGACAGAGGCTTCAAGTGTATCCTTTTAAAAAATGTGGTGAAACAAGTGTAATGTTTTTGTCGAGTCATGTGGCCAAAACCCGTTAATTTTACTCTAAACATGTAATTTTATTAAAGAAAATGTCCCCTAAACGCGTTGAACAATATATTACAGTGTTTGAATAGTGTTGTGATGGTGTTTATCGAGTGGAAAGTATGACGAAACGACATCGGAGTTAAAGGCGTCATAGGATGAACTTTCGCTTGTCTAGCTGAGATTTCCCGCTTCTACGTGGGTAGCGTTGTCATCAGGTATGTGATTATTACTCTCTAGTATTTGGTGCAAAACCTTCGAATGTGCGGTATAAAGGTTAGGGTCACGCGGGGTGGCGTGGTATTTTTTTGCAGGTCAGTGCTCCTTGACAGCTGTAAGGGACGCCTGCGTGGATGACGTAGCGGTCCATCGAACTGTCTGCCATAGCTAAATTTACATACGGAATTCGCGCGCTCACACTATTTCTTAAAACTCGCATACTATCATGTTTTCCTGGTATCGCGTTGTATAAACAAGAGATAATAGAGCATTATTTACGCAGTTTTTCTTAAATAGAAGTCATGTTTCTCGTTATCGACATGTACGAATGGATGATTGAAGCATTCTTAAGAAACTGATAAGGTTTTAGGATGTAGTTGCACAATGTACTTTTGTCAATAATGCTTTTTTAATTTGTGTTTATTTACTACAATATTGAACAAAACAAAGCAACGTATACATGACTTTTTAGTAGTACAATGTTTACTAATATTGTACACCTGCATGCAACTTCCATGCTATACTCAATACGAATACCTCATTGTATTGTGTTATATTTGTGATCTTCTTATCGTATCAATGGCATACACTATAATGCTTGCTATTGTAATGAAAGGATTAATGCCAATCGCAGTAAGATACTCTCCTATTGTTGCCTAGGCTGTGCCAGATGTGTAGTCTCGGAGGTGGACAAGAGGAGCCTCTGGGATATTTTTAATGTTACATACTGTTGTATTATTTTTATTTATTCTACAACTAAGGGGGTCACAACACCATATATGTTTATGCATTAATCTACCACTCTGATGCAATCTAGGTTCTGGTCCACACATCTTCTATGGGTTGTAAAATTCGAGTCATGCAGATTTTCTCAAAATCTTTCATTTTACATTTAGCTGGAGGTTAAGTCAAGTCAAGATTGTATAGGAGTTTGTGCGAGGTACCGGACTTGATAATGGAGTTGTCTGTCATAATTTTTGTATTATTTTTATAAAACAACTGTACCTTGCCATTTTTACTTGAAAACATGCTAAGTCATTGATTATTTTGATGGGGCCATAACATTTAAAACATGAAGAGGTCAAGTTTTGTATTGATATGGCTCCATTGTTGTTTGCGACTATTCCGCAAATGTCAGGGTAGGAAGCCTCCGTAATATGTTGAGACATCATCAACATCCTATTTAAGAGCTAGGCTCTTGTCAGTGTAGCCTCCTTGGTTTCTCACAGTTCATAGCTAGCAAGTCAAGCTGACCTCTTTATAGCTTTGATCTTCTTCCTTATTTGTTCATTATACACCATTTTTGGTTTTTGTTCTTTCTTTTCCCTTCTATCTGCCCCTCAATTAACAATATATTCTTCCCATCAATTAGCAATTTATATATTATTTATATGAATCAAAATTGTCAGTTTTTGCAGTTATTAAAGAGTATTCTGTTGAGACAAATGACAAATTGCCAGTTATTGAAAGCTTTTTGCATTGGTTTTGATTATTCTGTCCTTAGTATTTAGTTGGAATAGATTGTACTATAGATATAAAGCAATTAATTGCTGATTATGGTAAATTTATACAAAGAATATTAGTGGGGAGTGGATATTGAGTAGGAAATAATTGATATTGATTGATTCAACGCCTCCATGGTCGAATGATTACCTTGCTGATCTGCCACTCAGATGTTTTGGCTTTGATTGCTGGACTGGAAGAAATATTTGTATGGCCTCCATTTCTTTCTCTTGTGAGTGTAGGTTGTCTATGTGTGTGTCTATGGTCCCGCAATACAGGGTTGCCCTAGTGTGGGACAACCCTGAGAGTGTGCATTATTAATATTATATTATTGGATGGATGTTTTTGGAAAGGCGATCATAAAATGGGGAATTTATTTAGGGGCAGTTAAAATTGTCAGAGGTTAATACTAAGCTTTTAGTATTAACCTCTGACAATTTTAATTTAATATGTAGGATTTAATAGGTAGGAGCCAAGGCCGACAGCATTAAAGAACTGAAGGACCTTTCTTGCTCCAACACTTTTTATGTTCTCTGGTTGTGATCTGTGCGTTCCCAGTATGGAACTTTGTACGCCCATCTGGTGGCAGCACTGGGTGAGGAGATGCACAGGAATTTCAACCGCCTAGTGGCAAAACAGACCAACTTGCTGATTTTGATTAAAATCGCAATCAATCTGATCAGATGGCCCGTCCAAGTCTCGAAATCAGATGGGTTTCCGAGCTAGAAGATGAATGCTTAATTGTTCCGATTTGAAATGCCAAAAGTTTCCAATCGGCGGAAGAGACGCAGTTTCCGATCGGGAGAGGCAATCGAAATCAAGCTGTAGTACTTAGTGACTAAGTATTAAATAAGGAAGAGGATGTTTATAAAAATTTGGGAGAGATAAAATTTCACAATCGTGTGGAGAGATAAAGTTTCACAATCGTGTGGACTTGTTTATGTAAATCTCTGTAAATGATAAGTATCAAATTTTTGGATAAAGAAATTACTTATTAATGGATAAGATAAATATTGATTTCTATAATTATAATGACTTACTCATGTAAGTAGAAACTATTTGGTATTTAATTAGAATCAAGCCAATTGTCTGTATGCTGTTATGCACGGAAACAGCCTTCATGAACTGCCATATCTGACATATTTGTCAAACCGCGAGAGATTTGTGATCTTACACAACTTCCAAAAATGGACATTGTTCGCAAGTGTACAGAAGCACAGATCAAGATAACAATGTACCTCCAGTGAAACAGATTTAACTGCAAAAAATTGTGTGAAAAAACACAGACATATTATTCATACCTTCGTTTTCCCATAGAGGGCGTAATGCTTATTGAATAATCTCAGTACAGAGCTAAAAAAGTGACCTCAAAAGTCATTTATATAGTTTGCCACCCTTAGAGGTGGAATATTTTGTTCAAATTTGAATGCGACCATTACATACCCTCTTTCCAACAAAAAAAGAATCATCAAACTTGGTTCACAAATATCTTCATAAAATAAATAGTTATTGCATAACACACATAAAAAAAAATTAAGTCTAATTGAGAACCTCCTCCTTTTTTTGAAGTAGGTTAAACAGTGTAACATTTAAGAATTTGTCAAATGTGCTTTCCCGGAGGATACTTAATATCGAGTGTAGGAATACTAATCTATACTAACGGTGGCCATCTTCACAGGAATATGCTAATTACCATGACTTCTTGGTTCTTGTCGTTTTCGTCAGTTTGAAATCGTTAAACCTTCTGCTTTGCAAGCTGAAGCCGTAGGTTCGAATCGGGCTCGCACCTCTGAGTTTTTATGTGCGAAATTTAATGAATTAACGTGAAAATAAGAAAAAAGATTAACTAACGTAACACAATAACCGAAAGTATTACTTTGCACATTAACAAACTTGTCAAACAAGTTCACATTCAACATAATACATTACAACAAACTGGCAAGAACCTGTTCTTTCGAAATGTATGTAATAATAATGTAACACTGTTGAATAGCAGGTAAAGAAAAGATCCCGGGGATAAAAAGACCATATTTTTGTTACATGGATTTTGCAAGGTTTCTTTGAAAGGTAATTCTTAGACTTTTGATGATATTTTGAATAGAAAATAGCACCTGGGAATGTCCCTGACAAACTACAGTTAGTGCCACACCAGTAGATAATTTGGCGCTGTCGTTTCTCGATTGAAAGGCGCCAAAATAATACGACTTAATATTCATTACTTATAATTTCGGTGGCAATTTTTATTATTTATATACTGTACAATATCATCATAAAATATTGTTATTTAATTAATATTTCACAATAATATACTCGAATACTTAAATAATAAATAATACAAAATAAAATTTGCCACTGAAATTTGGTAGATGAAATGAGGCCATGAGAACCATAGTGGCCTAACTCATTTTTTTACAATATTGAGTTTATGATTTTTTCTAGTTCAAATTGATCATTTTGATAGAACCAGAAAGGCTAAAAGTGATACAACGAATTTTCACTAGATGGCAGCATAATCATTGTTATGGTTTTTAGTCTGTGATCTAAATTTGAGGTTGCCATACTGGCCTAAGTAAGATAGGCCACTATGGCTTATCCATTGAATTAGGCCACTATGGTTCTCATGGCCTCAAATAAACTTGAAAATCATCCAAATATTAAAAACGACAACAACGTCGTTCCATTTATAGATCTCAATGCTGAGCACGGCTCTCCTCTCATGGGAGAGGGTTTAGGTGATAGTCGGCCGCGCTGACCCGTGTTATTATACGAGTAAAAGCATCTACATTGTCTTTTAAACGAATTTGTGACTTTGTGAAGAGGAATGTCAAAAACAGCTAGTTTATCTTTACCCCTCGTATGCATTCTTATCTCTGTCGCTATATATATATTTTTTTTAATTTTTCACAAATTTTATTTTTTTGAACAAGTCGTACGCCTGATGGTATGTTACACGCCTGTTCATAAGATGTGCAGTGCCACGCAGAGCTTTAAATCGCAAAGATCTGAAGGGCACTGCCACTGCGCATGTCACCCTGAGACATAAGCTGAAAATTCCGATGTGCCTGTAATTTCACCACCACCCTTACCCTTCAAAACCGGAACACAGTAATGCTGACATTACTGCTTGGCGGCAGCAATAAGTAAGGTGGCAGTACTACCCTGGACGAACTCTTTTACAAGGAGCTCTACTGCTACTATTCTTCTAACACCTTCATCATCAGT